CAGGGCTCCGGGGCCCCTTTGCACCAGTTGCTTCCTCTTTGGATCAGGAAGAGCATGTCTCTCATCTAGACTCAGCCTCTTTGGGGCCTCCCTGTGGGTCTCAGGCTGATCCCCACCACAGCTCGAAGTAGGCAGCCTAGGAACACATTCAGCTTAGCCCAAGATCCACATGATGAGGCAGAGTATGTGAGGGTATGGCTGGGGGTGCTGGGCATGCGAGGTGATGGGAACCTTCCAGGCTGCATGGGCCCGAGGCGCACTGCGGAGGGGGGGCGGGGTGCTGGTTTCCCTGTTGAGAACACTGCAGGAAGATTACTGTGGCCAGGTCAAGGCTTCGAGATGGCCGAGGGACAGTGTGTCGTGGGCATGACACCACTGACCCACCCAGCTCAGCCCGACACACAGGAGAACCCTTTCCTCCTGCAGCATTCCTGCTGGGAGTGCTCAACCCCACGCTCAATGTAAAGCTGAGATGCTCAAAGGAATCACATGCACAGGGTGCCTGGGTGGCTCAGTTGTTAAGCGTCTGCCTTTGGCTGAGATCATGATCCCAGGGTCCTGGGATCAAGCCCTGCATCAGGCTCCCTGCTCAGTGGGGGAGTCTGCTTCTCCCTCTCTTGCTCCCCCTGCTTGTATTCTTTTTCTGTCAAATAAATAAATAAAATCTTAAAAAAAAAAAAAGGCTGGTCCATGACACAATGTCTCTATATTTCCATATTCTTGTCTGTATTTTTGCTTGTTTTTTTTTAAGTTGGGTTTTTTTTTTAAAGATTTTATTTATTTGCACAAACAATGAATCATGGAACACTACATCAAAAGCTAATGATGTAATGTATGGTGATTAACATAACAATAAAAAATTTAAAAAATTTATTTATTTGAGAGAGAGAGAATGAAAGAGAGAGAGAGAGCACAAGAGGGGGGAGGGTCAGAGGGAGAAGCAGACCCCCCGCTGAGCAGGGAGCCCGATGTGGGACTCGATCCCAGGACTCCAGGATCATGACCTGAGCCGAAGGCAGTCGCTTAACCAACTGAGCCACCCAGGCGCCCCCCCCTTTTTTTTTTGAGAGAGAGAGAGGGCACGAGTTGGCGGGGGCATAGGGAGAGAGAATCTCAAGCAAATTCTTCAATGAGTGCAGAGCCCTCTACCCTGAGATCATGACCTGAGCTGAAATCAAGAGTCGGACGCTTAAATGACTGAGTCACCCAGGCGCCCCTCTTTTATTTTAAGTCCTCCCTACACCCAACTCGAGGCTCAAACTCATAACCTGGAGATGGAGAGCCACATGCTCTGTCGACTGAGCCAGCCAGGCGCCTGACCTCTCTGTCTTCTCAAATCAGTGTCTCGATGCCTCGACGACCTCTCAGCCCGACCTGACAGGTCATCGACCTGTGGTCCTCACCAGAAGGCGGCCAGAGCCCTCACAGTCAACAGCTCTCCTGAGGGACACACTCAGCTCTTCAGACCCCAGACGTGCGGAGTTCCCTGCCTTGTGGCGTGAGAGGCCACTGTGTGGCAAGCCCTCGGGCCTCCAGAGGAAGGGCCAATGCATATGCAAGCGGCCCTTCCCAGAACTGGTTACAACTGGCAGAAACTTGTCAGTGAAGTTGGGCGAGCTTGCAGTCTGTGACGTGGCTCTCCATGTGGCCTCAGCCTCGTGGCCTGCCCCGCATCACGTGCTGCAGCCAGCAGCCAGCCCCAAACTGAGGAACCGGTCCCTTCTCCTTGTGAAATGTGTGCCTTTTGCTGGGTTAAGCCCTGGCCTCGCTCTGTTCTGGAGATAGTTATGTTTGTCTTCTCTTGCTGTACCACAAATTGCCACATACTGAGCAGCTTAATGCAACACATTCACTATTACACGGCTTCCCTGGGTCAGACGTGTGGATGCGAGTTTTCTGGGCCCTCAGCTCAGGGCCTCCCAGGTGAAATCGGTGTCTGCAGGGGCTGCATCCGGGCCTGAGCGCGGCCCTCTCCCACGCTCATGTGGGGGGTGGGCGGAGTCCGGTTCCTTGTTGTTCCTGAGGTCCACTTTCTTCTTGGCTGTTGGCTGGGGGTCACCCACGTGGTCCCCTGCAAGGCTCCTTTCACAGAGTAGCCAGCTGACTGCAGGCAACACGACGGAGACCCTGTCAGAGTGGCGCCCCAGCACTTCGTCATGTGGGTGCAAAAGGCCCTTCCGGCATTGTTTCGGCTCCTGCCCACACTAAAGGGAAGACACGGGGTGTGCCCCCTGGGGGCCCGGACAGCACGCCACCTGGCCCTTGGAGGGCTGTTTTCCCTGTGTTCATATAAACCCTACCAGCTCTAAGCCATCGCACACGCCTGCACCCCCAGACCACATCCTCCTCACTTAGACCCTCCAAGCCCCTATCTTGCTCACTGAGCATGAGAGCCAGACTGGGGTCCCCACAGACCTCCCCATGCCCCCAGCTCTGCTCTCTCATCTGGGAGGCAGCTTCCCCAGGCACCGGCCTGGACATTTACCTGCGGGTGTCACTCCCTCAGAGGCCATCCCGGTCAGTCCTGTGGAGGGAGAGTGTGCCCTGTTTTCGTCTCTTGTTATCTGTCCGTGAGCCGGCCTGCCGTCTGTCTGCCTCCCTCCGACAGCTTCCAGTTCCCTGGCACACAGTAGGTGCTCAGCGAATATTTGTCGAGTGACAGAACGGTGGGCGTGAGCACGTGCCTCTCTGGTGGCGTCCCTGAGCGCCTGTGGTTTCTCCTCCCAGTGAGCCTGGCTGCCTGGAATGTCCGAGTCCCCGGGAGCAGAAGCCAGAACCGGATTCTTAGCGGGACTGGTTGGCTGACCCCTGCCCTGTCCAGCCACGCCTCCTAGAAAAGGGGAGGTGGGTACAGGGCTCCGGTTTGGCAGGGGGTCAGGGGTGCGGGGGGATTGGCCAGAGCTCAGGGTGGGACCATGGTGAGGTCAGTGGCTTTGTCCTGGTGTGTTCTCTTCCCGAGGAATGGACATGCCAGGCGAGACTGGGAAATGAGCAGGAGGTCTCAGGCCTTGGCCTGGGGAAGGGCAGGTGGCCTGCTGGACCTCCACTCTCATCTGTGGCTACTAACTGCCAAGAGTGGGGGCAGGACACCAGCCCTTTGCTGGCCTCAGGCAGAGAGAGGCAGGGGCTTGCAGCTCTCCACTGCCTCTGTCCATTCCTGCCCAGTGGTGCATGGGGGTCAGCTTCCCCCCAGTGGCAGCCCCCTCAGACTTATGCATTTGGGCCAAGCTGAGGGCTGAGTCTCCACCGAGAGGGCCCCACAGGGCCCGAGGCCAGGGAACCTGCTGGGAGAGGGAGGGCACCCACAGGCTCCTGGCTCAGGGCTGCGAGCTGACCCTGTCCCCTTCCAGACAGAGGGGCGGGTGCTGGGCCATTTCTGCCTCCCTCCAGCACTGCCTGGATGTCTTCCCTCCACGGGGGAGAGACAGCCCAGCCGACAGAGGCGGAAACAGAGGACAGAGACGGAGAGACATGGGCGGGGCACAGAGAAGGGAGATCACCAGCTAATATAAACCGGTTAAAAAAACAGGAGGAGAGCCCAGGCCTCAAGGCCAGCTGGGCTGGGCTTGTTTTTCCAGAATGAAAGGCCCAGGGAGGGGCTGAGACCAGCACGGGCTCTGATTCAGTTTGGAAACGGGGCTCCAACCCCAGGGGCCTGAGTCTTGCTGAGGAAATGGGTCCATTATGGGGTGCTCCTCACATCCTCATGGCTGGTCCTCATTTCCTCTGCTGCAGCCCTCACAGTCTCCCCACCTTGCCTGACGCTGGAGAGTCCAGCCAGACTGGGGTCCTTGCTTGTCTGAGGAACTGGGGACTAGGGCAGGGTTCAAGGGCGAGGTCCTTGCCCACCAGGGCCTGGGGCCTGTGACCATAACTCTATCCAAATGGCTAGTCTAAAACAGGCACTGTGGGTTTTGGTGGTGGTTCGCATTTTTTTTTCCCTTTTTTTCTTTTTGAGGTTTGCTTAACTAGAAAGAGTGGGCTTGGTACGCAGTGTGGGATCTGTTATTTTGCAATTGTTTATGTGATTTTGTAAGTTTTCCCAGAGGTTCAAATTTGTGCCTTCCATGGGGGAGGCTCCCATACCCGCCTTCCCTCCTCCACTCTGGGCGGGGAGTATCTTAGCCAGGATTTGGTTTCAGGGACACCAAGCTCTGCCCTTGATGGTGGGCAGATGGGGGTCCAGGCCAGAGGGGAGGGGCTGGTCAAACGCTGCCCCTCAGTGCTCAGGGTCCCCACCCTCATGCCCTGGCAGGTCCCTTTGGGTGGTAAAAATGACTGATGGACAGCAGGGCCCATCATGCTGTCCTAAGGGAGCCCCCTGCCCGGCTTACCCCTGCCCCCAACCCCCAGGGCTGGTGTGACTGTTCTTTTCCTTTCACAAATGAAGAAATGCAGCCCCCAGAGGAGGCTGAGGGGAAGAGGGGAAGAGCTGTAGGTCTGGCACCCTGGGCTTCTTGGGGGTCCCAGCCCCAGGATGCCTTTCTGCTAGGAGGGATGCCTCAAGCTCCACAGCAAGCACAAAGCGGGGGTCCTGCCCACACAGGGGAGCACCCTGGGCCAGTGTTCCCCGACAGGGGTGGACGTGAGGTGATGTGCACCCCACAGCCCCAGCCCTGTAGCAGTTCCAAAGGGCATCATATGTCACAGCCGCCCCCACGGCATCCGGCATCTGGGACCATGCCCTCAGCCCTCCTGCCCCTCCAAGGGCTGGGCTCCTGGCCCCCTCTCCAGGACCTGGGCCAGAGGAGGGGCAGGGTCTCTGCTCTGATTTCCCTTCACTTTGTCAGACACGGGGCTGTGTTCCTACTCCTCCCCACTGGGCCAGCCAAGGATCCAGGGAGGACTAGGGGCCAGCAGGAGCCAGAGGGGGCGGTCTGCAGACTGTCGATCCCGCCCAGGGCTCCGTGATGTCATGGTGGGTGCTAAGGAGGGGGAGGGGGCCGGGCTGTTTTTCTGGAGAGTTGGAGCAGAAGTGAGACAAAGCGAGGCAGGCGGGCCAGGCGGGCGCCATGGAGCTGCGGTCCCAAGTTATGGTCTGGGAACTTGTGCTTCTGCAGAGTGAGTGCGGGGTGGGTGGGGGTCCGCACTGGAAGCCCAAGCGTCTTCGGGAGTTTGTGTTCTGGTCAGAGCTGCCTGTCTGAGCTTGAGTTGGGAGGAGTGCGACGCTCCCGCTGCTGGGAAGGGGCAGGGTCGGGGTGGGGGGGCTCAAGGTGGCAGCTCACTAGGGATAAGGGGCTCCCAGGACGCAGGAGGGTGTGAGGTTTTATGTTAGATCTCCACCACACGGATTCGGGAGCCAGAGGGCCAAGGGCAGGGAGGCTGAGGTGGCGGGTGCCTCTCCCTGGGGTCCCTCCCCCACCCCACTCTTCCAGGAAGCCCCTCAGGTGGCCAGAAGAGGAGTAGGTTGGGGACTCTAGGGGGCCTGGGAATGGTGGGGCTTACAGGGTCTGCTCCACTCCCCCCTTGGCTCCCAGGCCCCCTGAGCCCGCCTCCTGGGCTGGCCTGCTGACCCGGCACATTCCTCCTGGTCCCGGGCACTCAGCCCATCTCTGGAGCAGGAACTTGCCTGTGGGGTGCAGACAGTCCAGCCTGCTCATGCTTCAGACCTCTGCCCTTCAGGACGGCTGAGGGGGCTCCAGCCCTGAGAACTGAGTGTGGGGCAGGACGCACAGATGTCTGAGGACTCTTGAGGGCGTGTGTGGCATGGCTCTTGGCAGGTGCATGTACCTCATTGGATACGAATGTGCGGGAGCCCCCGAAACCAGCCTTGAGCTTCACGCTTTGGTGCTCTGGTGGCCCTGCTGCAGGATGGTGACAGTGGCCACCATTCCTGAGGGTGGCCCTTGGTGACAAGCACACACTCCACAGCTGGTTCCACCATTCAGCCCCAAAAGGGGAAGAGCCGTCCCACGGTCTCGGCAGGTGGCAGTGAGGATTAGGTGGGGACCATGGGAGACATGCCTGCACCATGTGGGGCTAAAGGAGCCCCCTCCCCCATCCTGTCTGCCTGGCTTCTCTGACTTTATCCCCACCTATTAAGAAGGTGTCATTAACAGGGCACCTGGGTGGCTCAGCTGGTTAAGCATCTGCCTTCGGCTCAGGTCACGATCTCAGGGTCCTGGGATCCAGCCCTGCCTTGGGCTGTCTGCTCAAGGGGGGAGCCTGCTTCTCCCTCTGCCTCTGCTCCTCCCCCCCTTTGCCCTCGCACACGTGCTCTCTCTCTCTCTCAAATAAATAAAACCTATATATGTATATAAAGAGAGTGTCATTAACACCCACCTCAGCAAGAACTATAGTGGACCCAGGCAGCCAAGTGGGGGGCCCGGGGCTGGGTGGGCAACCTGGATGCAAAGGCTCAGGTCATCCCCTCCCCAGTGCAACTCTCTCTTCTTCTAGGTTCTGCAGTCCTTCTGTCCTCAGGTTAGTGACCACCCTCCCCTGGAAACCACAAGAGTTCCCCTCCCTTCTTGCCAGACCCACCCTACACCTTCCCCTTGGGTCCTATCCCTCCCCCAGTGACGCCTCCTCCCCCCCAGCGCCCTCAGGGCCCGTGCCAGCCGCCAGCTCCGTGGTGTCCGAGTCCACCGTGAGCTGGGCGGCAGGCGCCCTGGCCGTGCTGCGCTGCCAGAGCCCGAGAATGGTGTGGACCCAGGACCGGCTGCACGACCGCCAGCGCGTGGTCCACTGGGACCTCAGCGGCCGCCCGGCCGGCGGCCCGGCCCGCAGACTCGTAGACATGTACTCTGCGGGCGAGCAACGCGTGTACGAGCCCCGCGACCGCGGCCGCCTCCAGCTGCCGCTCTCCGCCTTCCACGACGGCAACTTCTCGCTGCTCATCCGCGGTAAGGGGCCTGGGCACCGCGGCGGGCGATGCAGGGGCGGGGTGGCGCGGGCCCGCTGCACACTTCACCGCTGGGCTTTCTGCCGGGTCGTAGCGGTGGAGGAGGCCGACGCGGGCCTGTACACCTGTAACCTGCACCACCATTACTGCCACCTGTACGAGACCCTGGCCGTCCGCCTGGAGGTCACGGACAACCGTGAGTGTGCCCCCACCCCGCCCGCCCCGGGACGTGCCCCTGCGGGCTCCCTCCCCGCCCGCCGGCGCTGACCCACCTGCACCCCCAGCCCGGGAGGCCGGCGCGCACTGGGACGGCGAGAAGGAGGTGCTGGTGGTGGAGCGCGGCTCGCCAGCGCTGCTCACCTGCGTGAACCGGGCGCACGTGTGGACCGACCGGCACCTGGAGGAGGCGCAGCAGGTTGTGCACTGGGACCGACAGCCGCCCGGGGTGCCGCACGACCGCGCTGACCGCCTGCTGGACCTGTACGCGTCGGGTGAGCGCCGAGCCTACGGGCCGCCCTTCCTGCGCGACCGCGTGGCGGTGGGGGCGGATGCCTTTGCGCGCGGCGACTTCTCACTGCGCATCGACCCGCTGGAGCCAGCTGACGAGGGCACGTACTCCTGCCACCTGCACCATCACTACTGCGGCCTGCACGAGCGCCGCATCTTCCACCTGAGAGTCACCGAGCCAGCCGCGGAGCCGCCCCCGCGGGACTCGCCGGGCAACGGTTCCAGCCACAGCGGCGCCCCTGGCCCAGGTGCCGCGTGGCCCCTCCCTGCCCCCCCCCCGGGCCTGGGTGTTAGCCGAGGGGAGGCCCCCTCCCGTCCATCCCTTCCTGAGCCCCTCGCCGCAAGGGCGGCCTGGAGCGGGTGGACGCTTACTGGGTCTCGGGGCGCGCTCCCTGACACCGCCCCCGCACGGCCCGTGCAGATCCCACCCTGGCGCGCGGCCGCAGCGTCATCAACGTCATAGTGCCCGAGGGCCGGGCCCACTTCTTCCAGCAGCTGGGCTACGTGCTGGCCACCCTGCTCCTCTTCATCCTGCTGCTCATCACCGTCATCCTGGCCACCCGTCAGCGTCGCCGCGGAGGTGAGCTGGGGCTCCATCCCGCACAGCTGAGGCTAGGAAGCCTTCCCTGACCAGAGGCGGGGTGTGGGGTGCGGTGGCTTGAGCGGAAAGTAAGCAGGGATGGGAGGGCTCCTCAGGGCTGAGGGAGCTGGAGAGGGGGTGAGACTACGCCCGACACGAGTCTTCCTCCCCAGGCTACGAATACTCCGACAAGAAGTCGGGGAAGGCAAAGGGGTGAGTGCCCCCTCCAGGCTCTCCTGGGGACCAGACCCCCCACCCCGCTCTGCTCTAACAGCCCACCACCCTCCCACCTCCAGGAAGGATGTGAACATGGCAGAGTTTGCTGTGGCTACAGGAGACCAGGCTCTTTACAGGAGTGAGGACATCCAGTTAGGTGAGGGATGGCCCCAGAACCAAGGTGAAGACTGTGGCTCCCAGGCCTGAGCTAGGGGAGGCACATCTCTGGGGGTGGGGGGGCCTCACCCTGCTCTTTCCCTGCACCAGATTACAAAAACAACATCCTGAAGGAGAGGGCTGAGCTGGGCCACAGCCCACTGCCCATCAAGAACATTGACTTGGACAGAGGTGAGTGAGCAGGAGGGCTGGCCCCATACCTCACCCCACCCACACTCACTAGCCAGCCCCAGGGGCAGGAGTCCCTGGGCAGTCCTGCTAGAAGCCTGCCTTGTGTTTACCCCTGTGACAGAGGAGTAGAGGGCAGACACCCCCCTGTTCCCTTGGCTTCCAGAGTTCCGAAAGGAGTACTGCAAATAAGGTGATCCTGGGCTCCTGGCTGGGCCAGCAGCCCTGCCAACTCCTATCTGTCCATCTTGGAGGATGACCTCCTGACCCTCATGTGGCTCACCCGACCCCCTTCCAGCGGCTGGTCCCGCTGTCCTGGAACTTGGCCTGGACTGGCACAGAGTAAGGCTGTCTCCAGACCCCTCTCCCGGGAGCCATCCCAATCCTCACAAGCAGCGGCAGGCTCTTTGGGATTCTGCTGGAGCTGCAGCTGCCCCTTCACCAGCCCTCAGCAGGTGCCTGCTGGCTCCCACACTCACTGGTGGTCCTGCCCCTCCCCCAGCCCAGGCACAGCCCTGACCCTGCTGATGTTCACCAGTCCTTCAGGCTCTCCTGGCCGCTGCCACTATGGGCTGGGGCTCAGTGGGGGCTCTTGGAGCTCAGGTCAGCCTCAGGGCTAGCACCTTGGCCCCTTCTTCACCCCTTTCTAAGGGGAGCCTACGGCTGGGATCTGAGGATTGCACACTCCAGGCCCCAGACTAATTCCCCTCTGCTCTCTGTTGGGCTACTTGGGGCTTCTTCTCTGCCTTCCACCTTATTCCAGCTTTGTTTCCAGCAAGTGCCTTGACAGTCACTGGGCTCCATGTGACTTTTGACTCTGACCCCCCTCCCGCAGCCCCTCCTTGGGCAGGAGTCTGGGGCTGGGACCTCATTTGGCTTCTGTTTTGGCTGCAGGGGACAGAGGAGGGGTAAAGATGGTTCTAGAGTGGCTTGTGCTGCCACCCCCAACCCCACATTTGCTCCTGGGACACTGCCACCATCACAATAAAGACTCCATGATTTTTAGACTTGGCCCCAGGTATGCCTCTGTGGTTCCTACTTCATATCCTGGGGGGCAGAGTCTGGGCCTTGGGAACCTCGAAATGCTTTCCTTCGTCTGAAGCCCTGCTGTCACCACCCATTTCTTTGAGTGGAAAGTCTGAGTCCAGGTATCCTGGGAAGAGCAACATCCAGTCCAATCCTATGGCACTATTCCTGGTTGTAAAGGAGTTCTAGATTCTCTTCTGAGGGCTTATTTGGACGTGGAGGGGGGAGCCTGGACATGCTCAGAGGACAGCCCTCTGAGAAGAAGATGCCAAAATGGGATTAGATGTGTGAGGATAAAGGGGGGGAAGCAGGAGTTGGCACCAAAGGCTTGTGAGGGGGATGGGAGGGGGCTGCAGGAGGAAGAAGCCCTTGTGTTTCCCCAGCCCTGACCCCATCCCCCAAAACTCTTCCAGGGCAGCAGGAAGCGGGAAAGGATGTCTGTCACCCTGTGCTGGAAACCCTGGGGTGGTGTGTGGAGAACATGCAGATTATGTCTGGCTGAATTAGGGGCACAAGCCATCCACACAGGGTCAGCAGGTAACCTGGCATCTGAGCTCCCACTCTGGGGAAGTGAAAACCCCAGGGCCGCCATGAGGAAGGTACAGGACACTCACGTGAAGGAAGTAAAGTCAAAAGATGTGTTACTTACAGATCCCAGGACAGGGGTGCGGTGAGCAAGGCTTCAGAAGGGCAGTTCTCCATTCCAGTTCAGGAGAGAGACAGCAGGGTAGCATACACCTATTACTTATAAGGTGGTTAGGGTGGTGGTCACTAATTTTTTGTAGGCTCAATTCTGAGTGGTCATTTTAAAAGATACCACAGGAGACACAAGGCAGGAGTTTGTGGTGGGCATCCTAGGTTCAGGCTCTTATCTGAATGTGCAGACTCTGGATGTGAGATGCTCAGACAGCACCTCAGTGTGGCTGTCTCCTCACTACACACCTGCAAGGGTCCCACAGTGGCAAAGGCAGGGAGGGAGGCTGGGCCAGGGAGCTGTGGCTTGCTTGAAAATGTGCCTCCTTTCCCAGCCTGTGACCCCTGGCCCCACAGTAGCCGCATTGCTCGGACCACAAACTCACTCCCCCTTGCAGTGGGCCCGCCTGACCACAGAGTCAGCTCTGGCCTCTAGCTACCAGCCTCTCTCACAGGACTTGGGCAGCCAGATGAGAAAGAGAGGCTTGGCGGGAGCAGGGGGGGGTGGGCAAAGCACAGATGGGGCATCAGAACCTACATCTGTGAGACCAGCAGTCATTCATGTCTGGCCTGGGGGATGCTGGTCCCCTGGGAGCTCTCAGGGTGGGGACTGTCTCCCTCCCCTAGCCACCCAGCAGACAGCCAGCCACTACCTGGCTTCCTCAGATTACGTCTGGGGAAACCGAGACCCAAGGGGAGACAGTGCAGGCTTTGCTGAGCGGGTGCCCACCTCACAGAGCCCTGTCCACTCTCCCCACCAGAGCCTAGGGGGGTGGAGGTCAGTGCCCTTGGCCTAGGCTGACCTGGGGATGGTCCCCAGCCCGGGCTCAGGGGCTTTCCTTCAAAGTCTGGCTCTTCCAGTCAGTGGTGGACTGATGGGCTTTTTCCTGTGCTGATCCACTGCCCAAGGATGGTCATGACCGGGCAGCTAAGACAGCTCCAGGCTCCAACCAGCGTCAAGGGGAGCGCAGGGGCCAGGCCGCAAGGGGCATCATGCATCTTCATCACTCTTGGGTGCTACCCTACGGACTCTCCTGTTCTTCACTCTCACCAGTGTGGGATTCCCTCTACTGGCCTCAAGTCTTCCTCCTGGGATGGGGGAGACCCTCTACCTCCAGTGGGGACAGCGTGTGGTTGGAGCCTCCACAGCCCGAGGGGCGCTGCTCTGGGTCTCCCCTCGTCCAAGGAGGACCCCAGGCTGGCTGGGTCGACAGAGGCGGTGGCGCGGATGGGGGGGATCTTCACCTGCTGTCAGAAGCACCTTCCCCGGGCACCTCTGCACACGTGCGTGCGCGCCGTTGCCGGTGCTGACCTCCGCTGTTGCCTTCAGCCGCACATACACATGTTCACGCTCGCACCCCCCCTCCACGCGAGCCCCCGCATGCGCTTGGCCCGTGTTTCGCGGAGCCTCCGTGCGGCCCGGTAGAGGGCGCGCGAGCACGCAGTGGGCACCGGGGCGCAGAGGCCGAGTTGTCTTTGGCTCCCGGCCGGGACCCAAGTATCCTCAGCTGCCCCCCCTGCTGCCCGCGGATGTGACCAGGGCGCCCCCCCGACTTTGAGCGCCACGGACCCCGGAGCCCTCGCAAAGGGGCGGAGAACCGGAACCTTCTGGGTTCTGTAGTCGACCCCTGGGGGCCTCGGCGGGGGATTTGGCGTTGCCTGGGGCGGGGTCTCCCTTCTGACAGCAGGGCAGCTTCCGGAGGGTCCTCAGCCGTCTCCCTCCGGGGGACGCGCCCCTGTCCGCCCACGGGCCGAGACCCTAGGCCCAGCAGGGGCTACGGCCCGAGCACATTGTGGGCGTCCCCGCTGCCGGGCCGGGGACCTGGAGCCCGAGGCGGGGGTCAGGGGCGGGGCCCGGGAGAGCGGTGGGAGCTCTACGCGGGCGCTGACACCGTGGCCCCGCCACCTACGCGCGCACCCCGCCCTCCAGCCCTTCCGCGCGTGCGCAGCCCCACCCCGCGCCGCGCCGCGAGCGGCCCAGTGACGTCAGGCCCCGCCCGCTCTCGGGCGCCCCCCGGCGGGCGCGCTCAACCCGGGGCCGGCGGTCCCTTTAACTGCGCGGCCCGAGGGGGCGGCGGCGGCGGCGGGGGGGCGCACGGACGCGGCCGGGCCTCGCACGCCCTCCCTGCCTGCGTCCCCGGGCCGGGGCGGATGGGCGGCCGCGGGCCGCGGGGCAGCAGCGGGGGCGCGAGCGGAGCCG